TTTATTACAGTTAAGTAACTGTCAAAAACTGATAGCTGTAAATGAGGAATCGGTGGTTGGGGATCAGTTGTACAGTACATTATTCTCTCCTACAATTCGTTGTTGCCGTAACTAAACAGACCCACTCAGAAAAATAAAGTTTTAATTGAAAATACATATAATTCTAATATAATCATTTGTAGTTAAAAATATAGGTATGTTTTTTTTTTGTTAAAAATAGTGATACAGTATTTTGAATGTGCTGTTAGTTTCTCGCAAAGTTTCCTTGAAGACCCTTGAAATTATCTACCGTTGTTTAATGTAAAGAAATGCTTGTGCTTTTTATCTTATTGATAAAAACAGATATCCCTCCCTTATATTATCATGCTATTGTATATATTTATCATTTTAGTTTGTTAAATTAAGCACTTACTGGTTTTCCGTCTTTGTTCCAAACTTTAACTCTGAAAATAATTTTGCTACATTCCTTTCAATTTAAAAAAAAAAAAATATGCAGATATCATACTGAAGTCATATTTTAATATTTTTTTCCTTGTAAATGTTGTATACAGTTCCATAAACATATTTCCATCCATATACATTATATCTATTTTAATGTTTGACAACACTGTATAAGCATCTCTTTAATACTTGTTTTTCTGGCGATAACCTCTTCAATATCTTTATTTTCACCTGTTACACTTACAATCTTATTTCGCCTATAATTGTAATATGACCTATTTCCACTTGCATTCAATTAGCATTACATTAAATTTCTAAAATTTTATCACAGACTTTGTTTTCAAAGAGCCCTATATAAATTTTCATCCGATTTCTATTATATGACTTTTATCGCCAGTAAAATCCATCATCTATTGTCTCCTTATTTTCTCAAACTTTCATAATCGTCATAGTCAATTCGACTTTCTGCTTTGCATTAAACTTTGGATCATATAATTTATTGTTCTAGCTGGTTATTTGTATATAAAAATTTTAAATATCGGAGCTTAACCCGTGAGGTTTATGCAACGTATGTGGAAGAAGATATTAGGAGTCATGTTTGATATGAGGAAGGCGAGGGGTAGCTCTAACTCCTTGGATCATAAATATTTCATCAATATCATTGCAGGTTCTTTTGAAAAGCAATGATTTTCCAGGGAACCATCAGCTGGCTGCATCATGAGAATTATTTCCCATTTCCAGCATTTATACCTTTTATACAAAAAATAACGTTAAGTCCATTGCAAGATTTTTTTTTCATTCCCTGTATATCAAACATTTTGTTACAGCCTTTTATTAACTAGAGATTTTTTTTATTTTTTTGGAAGACCAATTAGGCAAATCCCATCCTCGTAGTACATTTTTCGTTAATACATATAAACACTAAGCAAGTTTGTGTTAAAGACTCTGCAGATATGAAGTCATTTTTTAAAACAAACACTAGTTTTGCTTATCTCCAAACATCTTACTCGCTTTTCCTATACTCTTTCATGGGATTTTTTTATTCAGTCTGTTGCACTTGCTGTGTTCTGCTTACTAGGGTTCAGCTACAGTTACTTAGCTCCGATTCATCAATTGGTTCAGTTTATTTTGAACTTATCTCCTGTCGTATCTACTCGTGAAACTGTATTTTATATACCTTGGCTCTTTCGCTATTTGGTTCCCCTTTCTTAGTTATTTTGGAGATGTTTCCTTTAACATTCCTTTGGATCATTTGGTAGGTTTGTTTCCTTTCTAATAGTGTCGTTCTTCCTTATATTTTGTGCAGTACTTACCTGTCTATTTCGTCAGTATCCTTGATTATACTGCAAATCCTCATAGTTCATTTCTTCAGTTTTGGGGTCAAGAAACAACCTGCACTTCTCTTGCTAAAGTGAAGGGTGCCACGCTGGGGCTTTGTACTCGAGAATTGATCTTACATATTCAGTGTACCATGTACTGACTTGTACCTTGTTCTCTCTTTTATGTTGCTACTCTCCTTGTCATTCGCAATGGATTGTTTCCTGCCTACTAAATGCTTTATATCTAGCATCTTTCCCCCCCCCCCTCAAAATCATAACTTTGAATATGTTAAAATAAATTTAAACCGATATTTTAATCTATTCTGCAGTGTCTTATATTTTTTCATTATCCTCTTGCTATATCTAGCAGAAGTCCTCTATAAATTTGTTTTATCTTGACATCAAATTTATCAAAAAGAGGACTCTACATATTACTTCTTTACTCTAATTATAAATCCCTCACCATCGCACTGCTTTTATTTTTTGGGGTACTTTCTTTTTCTAATGAATAATACTCCTATTCATTTTCCTAATTTCGATGATCAGTCTCCCATAGAGTATGATCTCAAAGTTTCTATCAGTCTAGAAAAAGGCAATCTACTTATATTTCACTGATTTGCCTAATTTATACACACTTATCAGAAAAATATATTAAATTTATAAGGTAAGATTTGCTGCCTCTACGTCCATAGCAGTATGACCCCTTGTGAATTTAACGCTTCACAGTGACTATTGCAATAATCGGCATCCATTATGTCTCTTTAGTCAAGATATTCTACTGACCTCTTTCTTATCACTTTCTCCATCACCTGCATTGTAAGCATGTCAGGGATACTTGTCTTTTGTTTAGGGCCTTGTCTATCTTTTCTTGTTTGGTTAATGATACAACACTGGTTGTCTCCAGTGTCTTGCTGAGCATTTATAAAAGTACATTACTTAGGAATTCAGTTCCCATGTGTGTGCTCGTCTATTTGTACTAGCCCTTTTGTATTCGTCTATTTTTACTTGCTAGGGTCAAGTCTCGGCTCCACGCCCTGCTTTTTAGTTTTCCACATGCTGATTGAACTAGCTCTTAGCCTCGTGAGAAATATCATACCTGACCTTAAAATTATGTATGGAATCTGCTCCCATTATTTCTTCGTCCAGGTCATTCTAAATTCTGACCATTCTCAGGATGAAAAAATATTTTCTGATATCCTTGTGATTTTTCTTCGTCTTTAAGCTAGGAATGTGCTGTTGTATACCTATTACCTGTCCCTCTAATGTAGTCAGGTTAAGTTATTTTGCTTCTACTAATAGCTCATTTTCTTTACCTCTGGGACTAGTCTCTTTACATCCCTTTGCACTTTTTCCATTTTCTTACCATGCTTAATCAAGTGAAGGTTTTCTGCTGGTGCCGCACGCTCCAAGCTGGACATGACGTACGCATGTTGGACATTCAGTGTTTCTTTAAGATTGATGATAGCTAGTCTTAGATCTGCCTATTGAGCATTCTCTTCAATGGTGATATGCTTGGAACTATATTCGCCCCTAGGTCTTGCTCCTTGAGTGAGGTTGGCAGCCAACGTGTCTGATCCAGCCTGCACTCTGTTCAGGTCCGACTGCAGCCTCTCTTTATCCTCTTCGACTTTTACTATGTACATTAATTTTACGTCATCTGCAAGTTAACATACTTGCAGATGACATCACTTATTTATATCAGAGACATTACGGATTCTAATACCGATCGCTGCAGAAACACGCTTGTTGCACTTTTTGATTCAGTATCTCTATTCAGACATTTTTTTTCTCTTCTCAGGTAATCTTTGATCCCACTGTTACTCCTATCTACTCTTAAGTTATTGCCTCAGTTTTGTGTAAGTTATGGTATCAAATGTTGTTTTGCTGTCCAGGAATATACTATCAATTCATCCCTTTCTCTCCTTCCTCATTTATGTTGCTTGGTCAGGGAACTCTAGCTCCTATAAGATATGCCATCTCTAAATCCGCGCTGGCTATTATTTATGAAGCCACTTCTCTCCAATTGCTTCACCACTCTCCTTCGGATTATCTTCGCCATTACCATACATAGTATGCATGTCAGTAATTCTGGTCTGTAGTTTAATATTTCCTATTTCGTTAATTAATAAAATATTGAGACTACATTTACTGTCTAACAGATCTCTTGGCAGCTGCTCCCTCTTGCAAATTCCATGATGACACTGTCAGGTTGCTTTACCATTGATCTATACAGCTCGGTCAAAAGTCCTTTTTTGATATCTTCCTTTCCCTCCTTGAGAACACCTGCCTTTTTCAGTTTTAAGTAATTGTGTGACTGTGAAGCAGTATCGATTCAGTCTTGGTTTTTGCTGCAATGTCATTCTTAGAATGCCTCTCAGTTTCTCTTTTCTCTCTTGCATAATCGTTTCTCGCTCATCGGACAAGTGATCTATTTTCTGTCCTTCATTCATATTTTTCCCATGCTCTGATTTTTTTTTGTTTCCACCACGAGTTCTTCGTTTGAATAATTCCACTGTTCACTTAAGAAGTTCGCCTCTGCTCCCTGGCACTTTCTGGATAGGTACGTTATCTCATTTGATCACTCTCCTTCCGATTCCCCTTTCTCACTGTATTCATTAATTTTCTCATCCCTTCAAATTTTCCTCTTTTGCATCTGGTTTCTCCCATCTCGCATGTATTATTGTTCCTTTAATGTTTACATCCACTAATCTTTAAAAATTCAGTACTGTATGTTCACTAGCACTCAGAGGTCTCTCATGTTATATTTCACCTATCAGAAGGACTTGTGGTAAATACTAGTTCCAGTCTTGCTGACTCATCCTTCCCCCCCCCCCTCTCTCTCTTCGCGTGTCCTTGACATGCTGACACACAAAGATTTCCATCATGACCTCATCGTCATGAACCCCTCATTTCTTGTCCCTCAGTCTAATTCTTTGTGCATAAAATATCCCTTGGGTTAGCCGTATTTTTTTTGTTTTTGCTGCTTCCGGTATGGTGTAAACCATTGCTGTGTTTTTTCCAGTTCCAGCCATCTTGCTCGGTCAAATAAACATAATTCACTATACCCTTTCACTGTTTTTGTGCAGTAATTTTACAATATAGATACGTCTTCTCCATATTAATTTATCTAAGAAATTAATTTTCTTACTCATATACATTTATGGGGATCTAATCTCATTGCTTCTTCCTCAGACTCTGTATGACCCGTACGAATTTGGAGCCTACCGATGAAAATGTTGATGATAATTAGATTTCACTTTTTAAATCCAGATTAATTCAAATTTTAAGAGTGTATGATGTTTGAGGTGTGGACACCATTTCTCAACTTAATATGACGGTTTGTTCCAATATTTAAAGAAAACATTGTCTTATCACTATTCGTGAATTTATACTCTAGTTAATTCTTGGTGACTTGTTTAACTCGTGTAGATTATTCAGCGGGAGGTTCGATCCTGTCTGCTAATTCCTGGGTATATAATTATGCTCAATTCCTTTCAGAAAATGTCTTTCTCCTTTGTACTGGTTTCTGGTATTATACTTTTTTCTTTATTCGGTTTTCTGGTGATATACTTTTTTATTCCCTCGAACCTAACCTTCCCCAAGACCGTTGTCTTTATCATGTGTTTCTCTTTGTCTCGTGAAATAATTTTTTCTCCATCGTAATATTGTTTTATTCTTCTGCTCCATATATTGTAGTTTCTAAATCCGTTTTCCTGAGGTGCTCAGTAGAATACTTTAATTAGTCTCATTAAAAAAATCATCCTTCTCATTCTGTTCTTTAATTTTGTGATTATTATATTAGAGTAAATATTTAAGATTTTTCTCATCGGAGACCAAACCATTTTATAATTTGCAGGTGTAGCTGTCCAGATCGTGATCTTTTCTCTGGTTGTTTGTCCAGTGTTGTGACATCACTTGTTAGTGAGACAGGCACATATTCAATGACTCTCTTTTTTGTGTGTGTAAGATTTATCAATTAGCTTTTTTTTATACTGGTCTCGAAAATAATCCATTGCGGATAACTTTGATGTTTTGCTCTCTGTCAAAAGTCATGGTGTTGTCTCATCTGGATCTTAAGATTCATTAATATCAGTGACGAGCTCTGTTTCTCTTCTTGAACGGATTTCGTCTCATTTTACTTCTGGATGTTTATGTCTACCGCATATAATTTCTTTGATTCTGCGATTTTTATCGTCAACTGTATTCGTTGTATTATATTTTTCCTACTTGTGCTGGTGTGCTTGCATGCGTGAGTGCTCGCTTAGGTACATGCATTTGTGAGCAGTGATGTATATTTGTTTTAGGTATGTGTGATGTATTGTGTTCATTGTACGTATGTGTATGTGTTTGTGATATTAACAGAAATGTACAAAGTAAGAGATTTGGTACACTCACACGGATTTACAGATTTGTCTCTTTTCAGCATACTAATGTCTGGATTAAGAAGGTACACAAAAAACCACAAATGCTTTTCATTCTAAATTTCACTCATAATAAATAGAATCCCTAAAGGCACAAATACACATTGTTTAGAGTTCACACAGGAGGTTTTCTACAGCCATCCTTTAGTCATGAGGGCAGATGAGGTCGTTGCCCATGGTGGGTCATCATGGGTCGCCACTTGTTCAGTGTCTACTTGCAATACTAAACTTTTTCACCGCGAGCGCGGGCAGCATCTTCAGCAGCGGCGAATTCGATCTGGCGCAGCACGTAGTCGGGGACAGGGTGTGGGAACTCTGGAGCCACTGGGAGGAAAGGAGACTCTGGCTTATAGCCGTTCTCGTCGGCCACGAACTTCAGAGTCACTTTCACTCCCTCAGGAGATGTGAAGCTGAAAAAAATGATGTTCACATTTATGTTGTACTAATTCATCCCTGAATTTGCATTACTATCGAGAATGTCATCGTAAACAAATACTATCAATAGATGTACTTACGAGTATTGTCCTGATTTGCCGATTGCGCCCTGAGCTACTGGTGAGCCGGACTGAGAGAGAACTATGCCGTTGCTAGTCTCTACTTCAAAATTGTACCTTCCATCGTCCTCGGTAATGCGATCATCCCTCAAGATAGTTGCTGTTTTCTCTGGTGAGTCGGGGCGAGGTGCTGAAGCGGCCAGGGCGACCAAGGCGGCAAAGATTACCTGAGAAAACCAGCGCTTCACTAATAAATCATCTAAATAAAGATGCACAGACATGCATTGGAACATAAAACTATTGTACTCCTAATGAAATGCAATAGCACACGCCTTAGTGTTGGAATAGGTTTCGTCTACAATAACTTTATTGCCACTAGCGCTACCAAGTCTTTCTCTGGTAGTATCAGTCAGTTGATAACCACTAGCTTTCGTATTCTATGAAGCCTTCCATGACTAACATTGGTCTACCAATGCTCATGAAAATATAAACGTACGTTGCTTATTTACTGACGTACCATCAATTGCACCAAAGGTCATCCTTTAATAGTCGCTAAACCAGCGATTAGCACTACGTTAATAGTCGTCCTGTTGTGTGGTCAGTGATAGTGGATGCAGTCAGCGCGACTCATAACATTATATCTCTTATCAACATTGTCACCTACAGCAGTACTTAAAATGTCATTACGTGCAGCAGTATCGTATACGGAAAAAAATGCACCCTTAACAGATCTTGCACTCTCATTTTAAAGTGTCTTGATCACTGCCACCCCTAATGAATATTATCTGGTTAATGTGAAAGTGGAACACAAGTTTGAAAACGAAGCAGTATATTTCCTTGACTCGAAATTGACGTTCACTCACCCTTTTTTTCTTAAGATGCTTTATTGATGGCTTCTCTTTACATGAGCATGTTTCATCTTTGCTTATTTTTCACCCTGTATGTAAATACACACAAAATGCACGAGAAAGCTTGAAAGGTATAAATATGAGTAATTCTGCGTTCACACTCCTCTAAAAAATATTCAGCTGTCCACTGCATCCTCTCACTACATAAAAGCAACCTAGCTTCAGGATCCCCAAGAACAGGCAACAGCATCCAAGAACCGGCAACAAACCTGTGGCCATGCTTATCTTTACATTACTCTTCTGTCAGCCCTACCACATGCTTTTTTACCGACCCCAGAACTGCATTTTTTGTACCTGCTGTGCCCTGTTTTATATGTACCTCGAACCTTGTTTTACCTTGTACCTTCATGTCGAATTCAATTACTGTTTCAATTAATTGGAAAAAATTTAAATCAAATTTAGGCTATAGCTCAAGACCTCGATTACTCTGTAACCTTTTGAATGATTCAGAAATTTACAAAATAAGTTTTCGCAATGTTGCTCGGCCAAGGGCTAGGCGGGAGGGGGAAAAAGGGGGATAGCAATCAACACAGCTGCTAGAGGAGCTAGTTTTCTTGGTGATTTTAATTCCCTATCATTAGTGATTAAATCGGACTTTAGATGAATATTCATCAGTAACAATTATGAGCATAAATCTAAGAGAAAATGATGTTAAGATTCAAAAACAGTAAACTGCAGTTTATCGAGGTCAGTTTTTTATTTATTCATTCCCGAAAGTGATGAATAAGCAGCAAAATATAATTTTTTCGTCATAAGTATTTTTCGTGCATATATTTGTCTCAAAAACACCTTGATTAATCAAGAACATAGCACAAACTTCTTTTGAGAATCCAGCAGCAAGACCAAGAGAATAAATCTACTCCTTTGAAATACACGTCAGTTGAAACTAATTTACTCACCGCTATCTCACGAGCAAGCCAAAGTAATAATGGCTTTTGAAAGCACCCCACTAGATAAAATAAGCATCAGGAGATTTAACGGACACCTTCCATGAGTTGGTGGTAACGAGTCCCCAAGCGGAGTGACCACAACATTTATGCTCGTAGAGACAAGGTACAAGAGACAAAGGATACCTGTTTTAAGATGCTTAGAGAGACTCCTACTAGGAGACACACACACACACACACACACACACACACACACACACACACACACACACACACACACACACACACACACACACGTTAATACATGGATAGCTCCATGTTTGAATATAGAGACTCGAGATCACGTAAAGACATGAGAGATATCTCAAAATAAATTCGTAGAAATACGTTAACTAAAAACAGAGAAGTCTAAACTTTATGACACAGACATCTTCATGTTAAAACAGAGAGACATCTCGATGTTCAGACATGGAAAGATATCTCCACGTTAAAATATGGCGAGATATCTCCAAGTTAAAACAGAGAGACATCTCGATATTAAGACATGAAGCTACATCTTCAAATTAAGACATGGAGTTATATCTCCACTTGTTTTTAATGAAGAGACACCACTTTAGAACATAGATTTGTCTACGATAAAACATGGAGATTTTTCATCCGGCTACTCTCACTCGTCAGCTCTCACGGATGGACAGAGCCTCATACCAGGCCAGCCTCGCAAGCTTGCCTACACACGTACGTCAAGAGATAATAAGACTCCGCGCCCAGGCTTGCCACACCCGTTTAAAGACAAACTCCGGTGTGAGAGATGCTCATCCCAATCATCCTCTACTTACAAGCTGCATGTTGAGTGAGCGTGTTGGAGGAAACTGATGCCTCAAGCAGTTTACGCCCTCGATATATATAGGCGGAGAAACAGCGTCCCGATCGGTTGCCAGTTGACTCCAAGAGTTAATCTCATGCTCCCCGTTACAGATCCCAGTTATGCGAGCAACATACCGCACATATGATTTCGAAACCCCTCTGTCAGCTTGAACTTTTCCAAACCCATTCCCTAAAATCAGATGGGTTTTCAGGGAACTATAAAAGAGAAAGAGGACTCCCTCAACTGGCTACACGCGACACCTGTCCTTTGTGCGTCCCCACAGCTCTTGGGAAAGGAGGTCATGCTTCATATTGAACCTCTACATCACTTGTGTATTGACGATTAGTCATGCCTTCCTTGAAGGTCGGGTGGCTTATGATCTATAGAACATTTGGACGTAGGTAATTCCGCTACGGGGCCGTAGTACTAACTTACACAAAAGAATTACGAAAAATGTTACTTCATGGCCCAGTGATATGATGATTCTATATTTCATATAAAACTATCATTGTTTTTCATTAAACCATAAAGTTATTTTTGGAAAACGACATATGGCACGAGTTGAGAATGTGGAAAAAAACCCTCTAGATTGTGTTTACTGGAATGCATGATTGATCAGTTTGTTAGATCTTTTCTGTGCTAAAGAATTTTACAGTTTTTTTTTTAATAATACTACCAATCAGAAAAACACCTGCGCGTTCTCAAGTCCTTACGTATCTTCAGAGGAATTCCTCTGAAGATGTGTGGGTAAGCACATGAAAACGCTCTTGTTTTTCTTTTTTCTTCACTGTGATATATACTATATATATATATATATATATATATATATATATATATATATATATGAGACTGGAAGAAGAGTGGAAAGAATTATAAATTCTTTAAGTACTCATTACACTACATATTCATCAACATTTTGGTAAAAAATCATATACATACCTAACAATGTCGGATTTAAAACCCGCAACGCTATCAGAAAATAGAAAAAACTTAGAATTAAGAAAAAATAATTAATATATAGATGTTTGCTAAAATTTCGCCAAAATATGTTCATTATCCCAACAGTATATATCACACCTAAAGTTAACTTAGATTTAGTATTATTTAGTATTAAAGAATGATATTATTAGAGTGATATTAAGAGTAATTTTCACGGAGTTATTTTAGCAAGTGAATTTGCACTTGGATTGTTTGGAAAAAAACGAATTTGCTTTAAGCTACACACACACACACACACCACAAACACTACACACACAACACACACACACACACACAACAACCCCACACATATATATATATATATATATATATATATTTATATATATATATATATATATATATATATATTATATATATATATATAATATATATATATATAATATATATATATCATATATAATATATATTATATATATATATACATATACATATATATACATATATATACATATACATATATATACATATATATATATATATATATAAATATATATATATATATATATTATATATATAAATATATATATATATATATATATATATAATATATATATATATATATATATATAATATATATATATATATATATATATATATATATATATATATATAAATATATATATATATATAAATATATATATATAAATATATATATATATATATATATATATAATATATTATATATATATATATATAAATATATATATATAAATATATATATATATATATATATATATATATATATATTATATATATATATATATATATATAATGTCGTGCCGAATAGGCAGAACTTGCGATCTTGGCTTGAATAGCAACGTTCATCTTGCCATATAGAACAACTGAAAATTTGTGTATGCATTAATTTCGCCTAAATCTTTCTGAACCTAACGAAAAAAATATATTTCACTGGGTTTGTTTAGTATTAAATTATTGTAAACAAATGTAAAATGTATTTAGTTGGGTTAGGCTAAAATAAATTGCTCTTGTTATAATAAGGTTAGGTAAGTTTTCTAAGATTCTTTTGGTGCAAAATTAAAAAATTTTACATGAACATTAATGAAAAAAATATATCTTTAAGCGTATAAGAGAAAATTTCAGAAATGACTTAATTTTAAATGAGTTCTTGCTAATTGACCAGTTTTACATATTCGGACACGACTATATATATATATATATTATATATATATATATATATAAATATATATATATATATATTTATATATTATATATATATATATATATATTTTGTGTGTGTTTATAAAAAATAGTTACAAAATATGCAAAATTATAGCAGTTAGAAGATACTTTTACAGCACATTACAAGGCGTCATCTGAAGAGACTTGGTAGGAAGCAAATTTAATTATATGTACTTAGTTGCTATAACCTCTCAAAACTATTAACTATAATAAATTCTTAATGTGGTCAAAGCAGCTATATACGGCTTGTATTATATATATATATATATATATATATATATATATATATATATATATATATATATAATGTCCTGATTATTCATACTCATTATGTATGCATTTGTATATTGTGTACATGTGTGTGTGTACCAGGAAAAATAGTAATCAACGACTAGGAATAGAATCTAAGGCAAAGCCTGTGTTCTCCAGCTGTCTTGTGATGGTTACAATAGAACAGAGCAAACCTCATATGCACTTTCATATCTTCAGGTATAATTCCCATCCAGTTTTAGTAGATTTAGACAGAGTTGTTAAAGATTTTTTCGAGAATGTTCACACTAGCTTTGGACTGATAAAAGCTACATCTATTACTAGGGCTGTTGGAGGGTAGAATGAGAGCCATAAAAAACTTGCAGGTGACGTCGCAGACAATGGCACCTGCCCACATTATTCAATGAGAGTTCTCTTCTGGTTGGACTACTGATAATATGTGAGATTAACGGATACATGTGCCACTAATGGTATGTTTATTGCTTTAGTGTCTCTCACTTAGAGCATTGTTAAACTAAAACATGCTGTGCAATGCATGAATAAAGAGAGAAAATAAATAAATTGAAGAGAGGTGTCCGGAAAAGAGTGCGTTAGTGAAAATAGCACCAGCTGTAGTAATAGGTGAGAAGGCTGCAGTAGTAATCTCTGTGTACGATGATTTCAGGTGATGGTAAAACTGGCGAGCTGTTTTAGATT